GTTGGGTTGGGGGGGGGGGGGGGGGGGGAGACAAGGATTGATTGACATGTTTTTTCATATTATCTTGACAGTTAAACTAGGTCACTAGGAGAGTTGGATACCCATTTTCTTGGTGATCCCTTCTATCATTTCTGCCACCAGGTGATGCCCGCTAGCGATCAGAGACTTCTCCTCCGCCAACAGCTCCAGATTGCCGCTGATCGAGGTCTCCATCTTCTCTTGGTTGGTCTGCAGCTGTTCCTGCTGGCTCAGGATATCACTCTGGCTGCTCAGGACCTTGTGTAGCGACTCCGAGGTCAGTTCCTTCAGCTCTTCCTGGCCATCCTGCCAACACAGACAGACAGTGCCTCGCTCATTAACATATTAGGGCCACAAGCTTTATCTATGGTGAAGATATGGTTGTCTATCTGTGCACCCAACCTGTAGTTTCAGTTATAAGTGGAAGCTGGGGACCCGACTTACCCACTGGCACTTTAGTGGTGAAATCTGTGCCATAATTCATAATCCAGCAAAAAATCGGAGTATCCCCTAATTAAGGAAATCCCTTTCTCGGAGCTGGTTTAGTAAACAGGTATGACATGTAAATTTAATCAAAAAATTCATTTAATTGTAAAGAAACGAATATAAACAAAACAATACATCCATAACAAAACATTAAAATCAATTAAAAAACTTCCCTTGAACAAACAGTAGTTAATATTGACACGAAGGATCTACAAGCCAGCTGGTGTAGCAAAGACCCGATTGACACAGATACATGCACTGTATTTCATATATGGATACAAAGTATCCAAAGTTACTCACAGCTCATACGGTTTAGGGAGAGACAGTCCTGCTCGGATCCCTCAGTGCTAGAAGGTTGAATAGTGCTTCACTTCAAAGAGTGTGTCCTGTAGCTGTGGTTTGGGATTCAGAGAGAGGGGTATGTTGGTAGGGCTGAAACGATGTCCGCGCCCTTCCCTTGTCCCTTGCTAGGGGCTCTCACTGACCCGCGAACTTCGATTTAGATTGCAGAAAAAAATATATGTGCGGCCGCACAACAAAGCAGCAAACAGCAACAACGGTAGAAGTGGGGGTCTCCACGATAAGGGATTCCAGGTACACTTGAAGATCCGCAGAAAGTGCAGTTCCCACAAACGGTCATCAGATCTATTCAATCAAACTCTGTTGGAGAGTTCCAAGTCAGCTGGGCTCGCACCAAATAGAACCGGCTGTACTCCGTCTCCACACTTTGTAGACCAGCCGGGATATACATCTACCAGGACTGGCGTGTGGGATAAGTAATTTCGAGTGTCCAGGGAAGTGGTAGACACGCGTAACCCTGACGCGTTTCCTCCCACAAGGGGACTTCCTCAGAGGGGTGTGTGCCGTTAGCTCTTGCAAGGATGTATTAAATAGCTGGTTAATGAGGCTAATAAGCTGCCGGATATCACACAGTCAGCGAGCCATATCGTTTCTCAAAGAATACTGATAATGTTGCACATATTTTGGTATACTACAGTGGCACCTGTGGAGCCTTAAGTACGTAAATAAAATCTTAGATCCCTTTACCCACATCCAGTCACAAGTGCAACTATACTTTAACTGATTTATGATAATATAAACATGGCCTTTAGACATCATGTAACATCATATACAAAACATCATATAAACCTATACGGGCTAGAAAGAGGCTCCTGATGTGAAAAAGGATCGAGTCTCGACGGGCTATTCATGGAATAGATGGTAGTTATTAATTACTGCTGTTATGACTTGAGTCAACACATGTGTTTCAAAGTCATAAAAAGGACCATACGGGTAAGGGAAGGTAAGGAGTACCAGATAACCCAACATGGGGGTTTAGCCCCTAAAAAAGACCCAGAAAATTTTTTGTTTGTATCATCAGTCCAGACTCTATTACAAATGACATCAGGAGTCCCCTATATACTCCAAAAATTGTATGTATGCAAACAATCCGGTAATTAAACAGTTGACAGAAAAGTAACTCAGGTAACCCCCTGTCGAAGGTAACCAGTTTGTGGCTCAAGGATGAAGAATATACTTGAATTAGTCAACTTCAATTATTAAGAACAAGAAGCATTATGTTTGATGTACAGGTGGTTTCAGAGATAACAGCTAAAGTTAATCATATCGTTAAGACCTGGCGCCTGGTGAGCCTCCGTCTGATGAATCCACCTGCACTCTCTCTGTAATAGGGTTTTATCCCAATCCCCCCCACGTCTGGGTTGATGGACCCTGTCCAAGCCAAAAAAGCGAAGTCTGTCGATACGTCCACTGTGGGTATCTACAAAATGTCTAACTATGGGGGACCTAAGGTCTCTAGCTGCTATATCCGACAAATGGTCAGATATTCTGTTCTTGAGCATGCGTTTGGTTTTTCCCACATAAAACATGTCACAATGACAAAGCATCAGGTAGACATGATGTCTAAAGGCCATGTTTATATTATCATAAATCAGTTAAAGTATAGTTGCACTTGTGACTGGATGTGGGTAAAGGGATCTAAGATTTTATTTACGTACTTAAGGCTCCACAGGTGCCACTGTAGTATACCAAAATATGTGCAACATTATCAGTATTCTTTGAGAAACGATATGGCTCGCTGACTGTGTGATATCCGGCAGCTTATTAGCCTCATTAACCAGCTATTTAATACATCCTTGCAAGAGCTAACGGCACACACCCCTCTGAAGAAGTCCCCTTGTGGGAGGAAACGCGTCAGGGTTACGCGTGTCTACCACTTCCCTGGACACTCGAAATTACTTATCCCACACGCCAGTCCTGGTAGATGTATATCCCGGCTGGTCTACAAAGTGTGGAGACGGAGTACAGCCGGTTCTATTTGGTGCGAGCCCAGCTGACTTGGAACTCTCCAACAGAGTTTGATTGAATAGATCTGATGACCGTTTGTGGGAACTGCACTTTCTGCGGATCTTCAAGTGTACCTGGAATCCCTTATCGTGGAGACCCCCACTTCTACCGTTGTTGCTGTTTGCTGCTTTGTTGTGCGGCCGCACATATATTTTTTTCTGCAATCTAAATCGAAGTTCGCGGGTCAGTGAGAGCCCCTAGCAAGGGACAAGGGAAGGGCGCGGACATCGTTTCAGCCCTACCAACATACCCCTCTCTCTGAATCCCAAACCACAGCTACAGGACACACTCTTTGAAGTGAAGCACTATTCAACCTTCTAGCACTGAGGGATCCGAGCAGGACTGTCTCTCCCTAAACCGTATGAGCTGTGAGTAACTTTGGATACTTTGTATCCATATATGAAATACAGTGCATGTATCTGTGTCAATCGGGTCTTTGCTACACCAGCTGGCTTGTAGATCCTTCGTGTCAATATTAACTACTGTTTGTTCAAGGGAAGTTTTTTAATTGATTTTAATGTTTTGTTATGGATGTATTGTTTTGTTTATATTCGTTTCTTTACAATTAAATTAATTTTTTGATTAAATTTACATGTCATACCTGTTTACTAAACCAGCTCCGAGAAAGGGATTTCCTTAATTAGGGGATACTCCGATTTTTGCTAAGTTTTGTCGAAACCCTGGAGTTTGGTGTATTATGTTATTATATTATATATCAGAAGTTTTTTTCGCGTAACTCCTTATGCTCCCCTGTTTGCTGCATAATTCATAATCCCTTCTTACCCTCCCCCTCCTCAGGTGGTTTGGTGTTCCCTCATGTCCTTCTGCATTCTCATTAAAATGTAATAAATAGAAAATCCATCAGGAATAGTGGGAACCCGTCTTAAGGGCCACAGGGGGTATGCAGACCTGGGAACTCCATGCAGGAATGGCGGGAACCCCTCATAATGGGCCCAGCAAATAAGCAGACCTGGAAACTTGGCACAGGGATGGTGGAACCGCTCATAATGGGCACAGCCAGTATTGTAGACCTGGAAACTAAGAGTAGGGATGGTGGGAGCTCCTCATAATGGGCACAGCGGGTGTATAGACCCGGGAACTCCGCACAGGGATGGTTGGAGCTCCTAATAATGGGCACAGCAGGTGTACAGACCCGGGAACTCCGCACAGGGATGGTGGGAGCTCCTCATAATGGGCACAGCCAGTATTGTAGACCTGGAAACTAAGAGTAGGGATGGTGGGAGCTCCTCATAATGGGCACAGCGGGTGTATAGACCCGGGAACTCAGCACAGGGAGGGGGGGAGCCCCTCATAATGGGCACAGTGGGTGTACAGACCCGGGAAATTAGTGGACGGATGGTGCACAGCAGGTGTAAAGACCCAAGAACATAGCACACATCTCATCAATAGAGTTTTGATTCTGCTAATGCCATCACAAACACCATCTTCAGTAAAGTCAGAACATTAATGTAAGTATATCCCAACCTTAAACAATTGCAGTTCGTTACATCAGGCTTTACACAGTGCTTCTACACAAGTCTATTGTTGCATTGTGCAACCTCTCGCTCACGGCTCTAATGTATGCAGAACTCAGACAGGTGCGGGAACCAGAACACACAGATTCTATCCAAACCCACCATTTTAGTTTTGCATGACTGCTGGCAAATTGGGTCACCTGCTATCTTTTAAGGACTCCAGTTGCAAAATGTCTCCATTATTTATAGATCTGTGCAACTGCCACAGCGATTAGGATACCTGATACTGGTGTCACTGACCCCCCCC